AATTTGACTAGGTGCTATGAACTTCCACTTGCCTCCCAAGTAAGAATATAAACAAGGCTTGAAAACAACATTAGTGCCGATCAATGGATGAATGGATAAAGAAGATGCAGTATATATACACAACGGAATATCACCCAGCCATAAAAAAGAAATCTTGCCATTTGTGACAACATGGATGGATCTTGAGGGCATTATACTAAGTGAAATAAGTCAAAGGGAAGAAAGTTAAATAACGTAAGATCTCACTCATAAGTAGAAGACAAAAGCAATGACAAACAATCACATACAGACAGAGAATGGATTGGTGGTTACCAGAGGGGAAGGGGGGAGGGAGGGGAGCAAAAGGGGTGATTAGGCACACGTGTGTGGTGATGGATTGTAATTAGTCTTTGGTTGTTGAACATGATGTAATCTACACAGAAATAAAAATATAATGATGTACACTTGAAATTTATATATGTTATAGACCAATGTTACCTCAACAAAAAATAGAGAAATAAGAATATGTCAAGATAGGTGAAAATCCACATGTATGTATTTATGAAGTATATGAAAATCTCACAAGGGCAGAACACACTATATATTGGCAAATTAAGTTTGAAGAGACTAAAACAGTCTGATTTTGTCATATCTGAACAAGGAAAAACATAACTACATGAGGCCTGGTAGCTAGTGGTGAAGAAATGGAGGAGGATAAAGAAGTAGTGAAGGAAAACAGACCATCTCTGAAAACTATGCTTTAGGATAAAAAAGATAATTTCAGAAAACTTTGAAATTCTCAATAGATTTAATGGAGCAGCTCTAAAGAAAGAACAAGCTTAGATGAAAATAAAAGATAAGATGAAAGATAACAGAATGAGTTGGAAAGTCATAATGAATAAAATGGAATAAGGGCCACATTGCATGGCCCTGGGAATACATTGCCTGAGTTTGAAATCTGGCCCTTTGACTTATTTAAAATAGCCGTGTTTCACGTTCCTCTTCTCTAAAAGGAGGATAACAATAATATTTAGTTCACTTGGATTATTTTGATATTTATGTAAGGTAACGTATTTATAAGCGTGTGGTGCATTACAAGTATTTGATAAGTGCTAGCTTTAGCAATTGGAAAGGATTGCAAAAAATCTAAAAATGCGATATAAGGAAGACAGGCAGGAAATTAAATATTTTATGTGAAAATAAAAGTAACCAAAAAAATGTGGAAGGAAAACTTCATAATCTTGCAGTAGATAATTTCTTAGGACAAAAGGCATTAACTGTAGAAGAAAAATGTGATGGCATGGATTTCATGAAAACTGAAAATGTATGCTCTTTAGAAGACACCATTAAAAAAAAATAAAAAGACAAACCAAAGACTGAGTGAAAATATGTGCAATTCATATATTTGATAACGAACTTGTGTCTAGAATATATAAAGAACTCTTAATAGTAACTCAAACAGCCCAATATAAATGGGCAAAAGATTTGAATAGACGCTTCACAAAATGAGATATGTGAATGGCCAATAAGCATGTGAAAAGTTACTCAATATAATTAATAATCAGGAAATGTAAATTAAATAACAATTAAAAAATGTCATCTGTAAACAGCACAGGTATAAAGTTAAATATTTCCTAAGAAGTTTTTCTAATATGCCAGGACTTAAGAAAAACATAGCGTATATTTTGTTTTCCTAAAAATAAAAAGTTATTTAAAGAAAAACTCTTATTACTGAAAAAGAGAGGAAAGTTGAAGTCTCGTGGTCTCCCAAGTGTAAACTACAGGTTCTAGGGCTGTGCAAAGAGGCATTTGATGAGGAAGCCCAGAAGTCACTGGAGGCTGTGGGAGGTGGCAACCCATACCTAGTCATTAAGCACGTCTGTAATGATTATAATGAAGAAATGGGTCTTGGTAGTGGTATTTCTGAGTTGAGAACCCTGACATTCTTGAAAAAATAGAGATCTCAGTGTCAAGAGTTGGGGCTGTTGGCTTTAGATGCTCTATGGTCGGACATACTTCACTTGACGCCTGTAGATTCCGGTTCACTACTTCTCTGTAAAATGTGTGCTCTACTTCACAGGGTGGTTAGGAGGTCAAAAGAAAATGAAAAACAGGATGAAATGTAGCCTACATCTGGTTTTGATCACTGACACAAATCACTTACAAAAGTGCATATAAATATCAAAAATGACAATGGCTTATCATGTAAAACCAATAATTCAATAATCTGGGATTAAACCACATTATATATCTTAAAGAAGACCAAGAAGTGGGTGAGTGCATAGGTGGAGAAAATTGTGTGGAGTAAAGGTGGATTCAATTTTCATCTTAAATAGAAACAACACTAAAATATCAGATCGTGCCTCTGATTTGATCTTAAAATCTTTATGATATGACCTTTAAAACTTAACTGGTTGTTAGATTTTAAATCTAAAATCTGGTAGGATTAGAAATGGGACACATACTTATGCAAAATTCTGTAGAAAATAAAAGCAAAAATAATGTAATTTAAATAGCAAAAGCCAGACAAAAAGGAAATACAAAAGCACACAGAACAGAAAGAGCAAAATAAGTCTAAAGTTGTAAGTACAAATAGCTGAAGCAGTGAGTCAAATTCTCCAATGCTCATGTAAATAGCCAAAATACAACCAGAGAAGTGCTTTGAATTGAGAAGTAACTGATTTGTTTAATCTTCATTATTCCATCTTAGAAAATGCAGATTAATAAAACAGGTATTTTATTTAAACCATAATGGTAAATGGTAAAGAGGGAGAGTAGAGACTGTAAGCAACCGTCCATCCTCAAAATCTGTGTGGATGTCCAGATGAGTCAGGTCTGGCTTTCTTGAGGAATAGCCCACCGCACTAGCAGCCCTCCCTTCTCAGTGAGGAAAGAATCCAGGCAGGGAGAGCCACGCATTGTCAACAACCTACTTATCCTTCTTCTCATACCCAGAAGTGTCTACTTCAGTGTGTACTTTAGTATAATGGGGCATTTTCTTCTACCTGTGGAAGAAGAGGGTGCAGCTTCCCCAAATGAAAAACTGATGTCATTTATCTAGCTGCAGGTAAGGCAGTTTCTTATTACGGAAAACATACTGCCCCCTCCTGCGCACTGAAGAAGATCTAAGGGAAATTTCAGGCATTGTCCTGCCCTCTAACAGTTTACACCTTTGTTGTTGAGATGGCATTGTCTGCATATATAAAACAAAAAGAGGTTTAGGGAAAACTATAAAATAATAAAATACATAATAATGCAGCTTTGGAAAGGGAGTAATCAGTGTAGGCTGTTCTCCTTAGAATGTCTTCATGGAAACAGAGAAATTGAATGTGGTCATGGAGGATAAATAGGCTCTAGAGCATGGAAGAGAGGGAAAAAACAGGAGAAATCAGAGAGGCAGGAAGGAGCAAGCAGTGAAGGGGTGACAGAGAGCAGGATGGCATTCAGGGAGTGAGGCATGGACTAATCTACCAGGAGAACTATACAGCAAACTCAGGTAAACCTTAGTATGTCTTGATTGCAAAGCCGCATGCCTCACAGAAGTCAAGGCTGGATTGTATGCATGCACATATATAAAATGGGAATCTTGAAGTTAGCCAGTGGTTTTCCATAAAGCTGTCTCCATTAACAACACTAACTCTGTGACTATGGCTTCAAGCTAGGAGAAAAGGGAAATGAAGATTAAGACTGATGTACGAATATGTAGCTTTGAGTGACTCTAGCAATTGTTTCATCAACACTAACTTGAATTGCAAAGAAATAATATCAGAGTTTTGTGGAAGTAAAAGAAACACCAAAAAAGGGTGCATGCTGTAAGCTAATGATGTATGAACTATGAAAACGTTTTTATTAACTTAATGGATGGTAAGTAGAGATCTACATAAAGGTTTGGCATGGATCATTCAGAGGTACATTTTTTCTTTTTTTATCTGTCTCAGTCATAACAAGTATTCCTTAGATCTTGATTCTTCTTGCATAATTTTTGAAGTCTCCCAGAGGCTCTTTAGAATTGGAGGACCCATATAAGAAACGGATGGATGCTCTCTCAGACCACAATAATTCTGCTTTGAAATAAAATGCCATTCTTCAGCATATGTCTGAGGAAATAGTGAACCTGACCACATTTTTAATGTTCCAATCATCTTAAATTAATTTTTTACAGTGCCACACTAAGAAAAACCCAATGCATATGTCATATGTATGAAAATAAGGGAATTTTCAGACATGTGCTTTTAATTCATTTGTGTTTATATCATCAACTATTAGTTCCATGACCTTTTTGATGTACAACCAACTTTAGCTGCCTTTTCATTAAGGTATGTTTCAGTATTTTCCCTTTTAGGAACAGGAGGACGTGCTTTGCCAAAGACAAATGAACTCAAATATGCAAAGGTTTAGATTTGATCTCGAACTCAAAGCTCATGTGATTTGCCTACCTAGAATGACCTCCCTTCACTAGCACCTGCATAACTGAAATAACCAGATTCTAAAGCTACTCCTGCCAGATACTAAACAAATAAAGGGCTTTGGCAACAAGCATTGACTAAAAACTCCAGAAAAAAAAGTGAAACTCTTAAAAAATACTAGCAAGGCTTGAGTGAGGATGGAATTTCTCTCCAGTATTTAATATGTCTGAGCACAATGTTGCCTAGGCAAATTACAGAAGCTAATATCATCCTGTCTGAAATGTTAAAGAATTACCATTAAAGATAAACATCAGCTAATTCAAGGTTTCCTCAGTATCTCAGAATGGGATCTTCCTGGGAAGTATTTGATTTTTTTTACTTGTTTAGTATTATGCTCTCTTTGAAGCATATTTTTTCCTTTTATTGCCTGTTGAGTAAGGAAACAGAATACTGCATTTCTGAGTCTAAAAAATTCCTTCTATAGAATTCAAGAGAAATTCCCCAAATCTGCTAGTGTCTGCTGGGATTCAGTCACAAAATCTAAGTTTTTCTTCTCCACTACATTTGTGCTTTCATTCACTTTAATCTTAACCCCTTCAATCTGTTTCTTTATAGTGAACTAATTCAGAAGCAAGTGAGCATGTGGACATATGGAAAAGGGAAACAGCTGGATGTTACTTCAGTTTTGGAAAAGAAAAGAAAAGGTTTCAAACAAATTTCTTTGTCAAAGTTTTATTGTCAAATGTTATTTAAAATGATGTATTAAGGGACTGGGAGAAATCTTTAGTGACGACTGAAGGAAATATCTTAGTGATAAAAACAGTGTCGAGGTGAAAGTAGCTTTTCTGAATGGCAAACTACATGAAGTAATATTCCCCTATGGAAAGAATGTATTAAGCCCTTTGTATCTTTCCAAGGACAGCAAAGAGCTTATGTTTGAAAAGACATGCATCTCTTCTGTGTAAACAAATGCAGATTGGATGGGTCTCTGAAGTGTCATGAAGCATTTGTAAGACAGAGAATTTAGGAATAAATCACTGTGTATTAGATATGAGCTATGCAGCACATAATGATCTAGGAATCTATAACCCCTCTGTACCAGACTATTTCCTGAATACACTGGCTGTACACTAAGAGATAAGAGGAGAAGCAGAAAATATATTAGAAACCAAAGAGGACACATTAACCACTTTCTCCTTCGCTTTCTGCCTCAGCCCTACACCTGCAAATTAGTAACAGCTAATATGTGTTCAGTGCCTACTGTGTGCTAGGCAGTCTTCTAGCACTTTACAGGTTTTATTTGTCACAGATTTTGAGGCCCATACAATTATTCCTATTTCACAAGTAAGGAAACCAAGACACAGAGGGGTTACTAACTTGTTCATGATGACACAGTCAGTAGGTGATCAAGGCAGGATCTGGACTTGGACAGCCACACTCCAGAGCATGTCTTTTAAGCACTGGTCAGTACTGCCTCTGCATACAGCCATGGCCCGTGCACACAGGGGATTATATGAAACATTTGTTCCAAATATCACAGAGATATCAACCCAGCTAGATGATGTTCTTGAGAAGAAACATCTAGGAGCTAAAATATTTCAAAATGGAAGCAAGTATGGTTCATCCAAGAAGAATTACACAGAACAAAACAAAGCACAAGTAGAAGACACTGAAGAGGTCAGACTCTGTATCTAAAAGCTCAATGGTTTCAATGGAATGTTGCTTTTCTTATGAGCCTGGCAAAGGAATGAAATTCAGTGGAAGTGAGACATGCTGGGCCCAGGCCAATTCCATTGTGTTTGTTCTGTGGGAGAGCTGCTAACTTATAAGGAATGAGACCTTTGTCACAGGGAGTATTTATTTTTGTTCAGTAGGTAGAAGTTAAATTTCTAGCTATTAGGCCCAGAGTTACCGGCAACCTGTGTTTAACACCTCCTTTTGTTGAATGGATTTTTCAGGCATTTAACACTTTCAAATGGAAACTAATTTTCCTCTATTCCTTTAATGTATTCAAACTGATCAAACTGAAAGAAGCATCACATTTTATATAGAATCGTGGTCAGTTTTGACAATCTGACATTTAATTTCACTTTTTTTTAAGATTTTATTTTTTTCTTTTTTCTCCCCAAAGCCCCCCGATACATAGTTGTATATTCTTCCTTGTGGGTCCTTCTAGTTGTGGCATGTGGGACGCTGCCTCAGCGTGGTTTGATGAGCAGTGCCATGTCCGCGCCCAGGATTGGAACCAACGAAACACTGGGCTGCCTGCAGCGGAGCACCCGAACTTAACCACATGGCCACAGGGCCAGCCCCTAACTTCACTTTTAAGCTAAAAATGTCCAAGGGACCATATTTTCTTTCACAATTTGGGTGGTGTTGCTTATGAATCAGACTAGTATTTAATATTTACAGAGAGTCTCTAGTGTTCCAGGATTGCGCTAACTGTGAGACTGAGTCTTCAAGAATGTCTCATATCTTCCTTTATGGGACAGAGGTATAAAAAAATTTCAATTGTAAAACGCAAATGTTACGAAAAGGAATTTAAATCCTTTTATTTTATATTTGTATAAAGTGATTTTAAAGTAGCTTTTTTGAAGAAAATGATTTTGTGTGTTTCTGTAGGAGAAAGAAGTATGAATATTCATTAGAGAGATTCACTAATATTTTACCAACTGTAAAAAGAAATTCAAAAGATATAGGAAAAAAGATAATCTATGTTTTTTAGAGTTAGTCCAGTAGTTAAACGAGTTATAAAATATTGCTGTCGTGTATACTACAAGTCGTGAAGAAGACCCAGTGAGAGGATATGAAATGAAGTTACATCAGTCCACTATTTGCTTTCTGTGTGTGTGGTAGTGTCCATCTGTGGCAACTGGGCAGTAGCTGCAAGGCGACTTTGAGATAAAATTTTCAGCAGAAAATGTGTCTTTTATTCTGGCTAGTGTGGTGTTTCTAAGATCGTCATTCAGGAATTATTTCTATCCTCCCTACTCTCTCTCCTTATATATCCTCCAATGCAAAAGTAAAACTGGAACACTCACTTATTTCATTCTGTGTAAATATACAGTAATGACTATATACATGCCTACACACACAAGCCATCTCTCTACATTTTTTCCGTATCTTTTTTCTTCTCTTGAGAGTCTATATTGTATTTCTCTATATAAATAAAATTATTGAAGGAAAATCTATATATTGAAAATCTCAATCACACTCTATTGCCTGAGTAATTAGAGTTATTTCAGATTCAGATTATTAGAGATTATTTCAATATCTATTATTAATATTCTTACTGATACAAGATAATCGTATTATATGTTGAACAACTCTGCTGAACTCTTAAGCATCAACACAGTACTCATGACACCGTGGTGCCGTTGCTACACATTGTGAACATATGAAGACAATTTCTCTTTGCTTGGGGTTTTGTTATATATCTCTGATCCACAGAAAACTGAATTTCTTTGACTTCCAATCAGCTTTTGGTTACCTTAATTTTTCTTTTTGATCTGGCTGTTTTCTTGGTAATTCCCTCTAGAGATATTTAATTTAGCATGTTTTTCTTTTCCTATAACGTTAAGTTTTTCTCTTTGATTAGGACAGCCAAATTGGGAGGGGAAGATTGGACAAAGCTGTCAAGGACACTGAAAATCTGTGTATGTGTGCATTAAATATATGTCTATCTGTGCATTGGTCATTGGCACATTGTTCAAAATTGTATAAAATGAGATTTTTTCTCTTATAGGGTGATTGTATTGTCGTCAGTAGCAGCCACATTAAGCTTCCATACTGAAAACAAGAAGACTGAACAATTTTCTCTGCGTATAAAATTGAACTGATGGCTGAGGCTTAAAGGGAGCATTTTAAGTTTTCCTGTTTGTACTTTAGGTAACTAACTAGAGGAGAGAAATGCGTGGGAGTGGCACCTCAGTTGTAAATCCACCTCCACCTCTTAGTGGAAAATATAGAATCATTAGAATAGAATCACGGCCAGATAACCTCTCTGTTCTTGCCTTGAACTTAAGTCATTTTCAGTTTGAAATTTTGGGTGCTTTTGTTACACCCTGGCTGACAGCAAGCATGTAATTTGGTTCTAGCCAAAGGCATATATTGCCCAGAGAGGAGGAAACTAACATTTAACTAGCATATACCACATGCCAGGTACTCTGTGAAGGCAATTTTACCACACAAGAAGATATCTCGTTCTCAAGTCAGAGGAGATACTTGCTTAGTTTAGAGCCTTTTAGCTACCAATAATCAAAAGTTAATTCATCTGTTTTGGGTGCAGTTTTATAGATATTATGCTAAATTTTTCCAGTAGAGTGCTTTGTGCCAGAATTGAAGAGACCTGAGATGCCCTGTGAGAAAGCAAAGGAGAGACTGTATTGGAAAGTTGAGGTGGGGAACTAGGTGCCACCAACTATATTAGATAGAGACCATGAATTTATTTAGTGTCTAGAAGCAGAGCAGAATGGTTTATCATGGACTTAAAAGGGACCTTTGGGATCAGATAATTGTTTAAGTTAATTTTACAGGTAAGGAGAAAGAGCCCAAAGCAGTTAAATGACCTTGTAAATAGCTACTTCACGGAAGACACAGAAATCACGTTGAATTCAAGTCTGCTGACTCTCATTTCATTGTTTTCTTCTTTATCTTTTTATAATTTGTTAGTTACTACCACCAAGATATTCTTTTCTTTACCTCTTTACCTCTTCTTTCTTTCCTCTAAGAGTGAATTTTCTGATTGAAGATGAAGGACAAAAGCATTGAATTATTGACTTTCTAAAAGGCTGAGTCAGGATTGAAGTGAAAAAAAAAAGTTGTAGAGGAAATTTAATATAGTATGTTTGAAGGTTATTAGAAAAAGTAAGTGAGACCTTTAGCCCTGCACTTTAAGCTGCATTCTGAAGGTGAGGAAAGACATTCCGGAATTGCATGTTTGAGATTAGAATTTCAGAGCAGAGAAGACCTATGCCTTGCCTTTCTCATATACGATTCTCATGGTTGACAAACCTGCAATGGTTGTAGGAAGTTGGGGTCAGCAAGAATAGATCTTTTGGAAATTAATTTTTTATTTTTCCAAGAAAGTTAATATTTATTTACATATAATAAAAAGCTTTTAGTGAACATGTTCTATGTTATAGAAGATCATAAAATTATGTCTCCACACTCAAGGTACATAAAGGTGTCAAATAATAAACATGTAATTCAAGCAGTACTGTACTCAGCAGATCTGGGGGCTACATCCTATGTGTTTACTTTACCTCTCTCTTTCCCACAGCTTCCCACAGAAAATTTCTCTCCTTCCTTATGAAAAATTCCAGCTGCGTATGAGGCTAATGCATTAGACTATAATTGTCTACTCATTTGTCACTAAATTATATACACATCTTGATTATTCTCCTAATCTTTGAAGTTGTTGGCACCTATTTCTCACTTCTCAACATTCCAAGTGTCAACATTCTCCCAAACAAAACCAATATTCACAAAATTGAGTATTCTACTTTTCTGGACACCTGTATCTCCAAATCTCCAGCAACTTTCTTTTCTGTTCTTCTTTTTGCCATCATTCACATAGCCACATCTTTGAACTTATCTTTGAAATTACAACTTAGCAATCCTTCTGAATCCAATCGAATTGTGGACTCAATTACACCCACACACATGTTCTGTTACTACTTTGGAACTTTCATTCCTTCTACTTCTGTCTACT